GGACCTAGGCTTGGTCCCTCTGGAAGCGATATAGGGGATGGAGCTGTTTCTGTTGACTGTGAACCGCTCTCCGCTGGTGCACTATGTTGGGATTCAGGCTCCGGCTGAGCCTCTTGTGTAGGGTTATCGGCTGCTGCCAGTTCAGGTTCAGTGGGGCCCTCTGGTGTTGAGGTTGCAAGTACTGGATTCAGTGCTGGCACGGGGTCTGGTGTTGGTTGTTTGGCTGGTTCCGGTTCTGGGACTGGTTCCGTCTGGGTCTCTGGCACTGGATCCACTACTGCTGTTGCAGACATTGGCCTGGGGTCCAGGTCCATCACCTCTGACTGGGTCCTGATAGAAGTTTCCGGAACAGAGCTAGGCCTCACGGCTTGTTTAGCCTGGCTGCGGGTGACCATTCCCACCCTCTTGGCCTGCTTCACATGATTGGCCAAGTCTTCCCCCAACAGCATGGGGATGGGATAATCATCATAGACTGCAAAAGTCCACATTCCTGACCAGCCCTTGTACTGGACAGGCAACTTGGCTGTAGGCAAATTGAAAGAGTTGGACTTGAAGGGTTGAATCGTCACTTGGATCTCTGGGTTGATTAAATTGGGGTCCACTAAGGAAGCATGGATAGCTGACACTTGTGCTCCGGTGTCCCTCCACGCGGTGACCTTCTTCCCGCCCACACTCACAGTTTCCCTCCGCTCCAAGGGTATCTGGGAGGTATCTGGGCCTGTGGACCTCTGGTGTGATTCCGGTGCAATGAACTGTAATCTGTTGGGGTTCTTGGGGCAGTTGGCCTTTACATGCCCCAGCTCGTTACACTTAAAACATCGTCCAGCTGACGGGTCACTGGGGCGAGGAGGGTTGCTGGAGAACGGGGTGGTGGGACGATAAGGGGTCTGGAGGGTTCTTTGGGAGGTAGGTGGGGCTTTGGGCGGCCCCCGGTAATAGGGTGTGGTCTGGGGTGGTCCCTTCTGGTCTCCGCTCCAACTGCGACCAGTTTTCTTCTTCTCTGCCATCTCCACCCATCTGGCTCCAATCTCTCCTGCCTCAATTACAGTTTTGGGTTTCCCATCTAGGATGTATCTTTCTATTTCCTCAGGAACACCCTCTAAGAATTGTTCCATTTGCATTAGGAAGGGCAAATTTTCTGGAGATTCAACACTTGCTCCTGATATCCAGGCATCCCAATGTTTCACAATGTGGTAGGCATGTCGGGTAAATGACATGTCTGGTTTCCACCTTAGGGCTCTGAACCTCCGACGAGACTGCTCGGGTGTTATCCCCATTCTGACTCTCGCCTTGGATTTAAACAGTTCATACTTGTTCATGTGTTCTTTAGGCATTTCAGCTGCCACCTCAGCTAAGGGTCCACTGAGCTGCGGCCTCAGCTCTACCATGTATTGGTCAGTAGAGATGTTGTACCCAAGGCAGGCCCTTTCGAAGTTTTCTAAGAAGGCCTCAGTATCATCACCTGCCTTGTAGGTGGGGAACTTTCTGGGATGGGAAGTGGTACCTGGAGAAGGATTGCTAGGGTTTGTTGGTATATTCTGCTGGGCCTTTATCCTCTCCATCTCCTCCACATGCTTCCTCTCTTTTTCCCTCTCCTCCTCCACATGCTTCCTTGCCTCCATTTCCCTCTTGTGGGCAGCCTCTTGGTGTAGTTCTGCCTCCCTTTCTTGTTCCTTCTTCAGCTGCATGAGTTCTATCTGTCTTTCATGTTCCCTTTGTCTTTCCTCAGCCTGAAATTTGGCTAATTCGAGCTGTAGTCGAGCTGAGGATTTGGTCATTCTAACCTCTCTGTTTTTAACTAACTTTACACCCGAGGTTTAGAAATAAACAAACAAAACGTGGCTGTAAAATTTTGCTGTGCTGGAATAGAATACCTATTCTCTGATAGTGACTGTAGCCTACAGAAAAAGACAATTCCCTTGTCTCTGCTCTGGGCCCAAATTAAAGCAAAAAACCTCCAACTACTTGGAAACCTGCTTACCCAGCCCAAAGAAAAAGCAAATGGGTAGAACACACACCCCCTATTTACTTTTAGGAAGAAAAGAAAAAAAAAAACCTCTGGGTTGGAAGACTGTGAATTTCCCTGCAGGAGTTAAGTACCCTGCCTCCAGGCAAAGAAAACCTGCAATTCACAAGATAATCCCCTTTTGTCTCTGCTTGGCCACAGAGCAGAGAGAAACCAAGCTGCTTTCAGTTTCAAAGCTGCTTTCTGGACTTCCTAAAAATTCCTTTTTAAAATCTGTATTTCTAGTTCAAAAAATCTCAACTGGATCTCAAAATGATTTCAGGTTAATCCCACCGCTATGCCACCATGTCAAGGTTCCTCCCCCACTCTGAACTCTAGGGTACAGATGTGGGGACCTGCATGAAAAACCTCCTAAGCTTATCTTTACCAGCTTAGGTCAAAACTTCCCCAAGGTACAAAATATTACACCCGTTATCCTTGGAATGGCCGCTACCACCACCAAACTAATACTGGTTACTGGGGAAGAGCTGTTTGGACGCGTCTTTCCCCCCAAAATACTTCCCAAAACCTTGCACCCCACTTCCTGGACAAGGTTTGGTAAAAAGCCTCACCAATTTGCCTAGGTGACTACAGACCCAGACCCTTGGATCTTAAGAACAATGAACAATCCTCCCAACACTTGCACCCCCCCCCTCTCCTGGGAAATGTTGGATAAAAAGCCTCACCAATTTGCATAGGTGACCACAGACCCAAACCCTTGGATCTGAGAACAATGAAAAAGCATTCAGTTTTTTACAAGAAGACTTTTAATAAAAAATAGCAGTAAATAGAAATAAAGAAATTCCCCCTGTAAAATCAGGATGGTAGATATCTTACAGGGTAATTAGATTCAAAAACATAGAGAACCCCTCTAGGCAAAACCTTAAGTTACAAAAAAGATATACAGACAGAAATAGTTATTCTATTCAGCACAATTCTTTTCTCAGCCATTTAAAGAAATCATAATCTAACACATACCTAGCTAGATTACTTACTAAAAGTTCTAAGCCTCCATTCCTGTTCTGTCCCTGGCCAAGACGACTACAGACAGACACAGACCCTTTGTTTCTCTCCCTCCTCCCAGCTTTTGAAAGTATCTTGTCTCCTCATTGGTCATTTTGGTCAGGTGCCAGCGAGGTTACCTTTAGCTTCTTAACCCTTTACAGGTGAGAGGAGCTTTCCCCTGGCCAGGAGGGATTTCAAAGGGGTTTACCCTTCCCTTTATATTTATGACAGGGGTCTTATGATGTCTTTAAGGAAGGGGATGTAGTACTTGCCTCATTGTCATGATGCCTTTGGCTGTGTTTTGTAACTGAGTAAAGCAACTCATGGTAACACAGGAATCTCCACAATGGATCAGACTGATGGTTCCCCTAGTTCAGTATCCAGTTTCCAACAGTGGCCACTGCTCGATGATTCAGAGGAAGGTGCAAGAAAGCCTGCAGGTTGGGAAGAGGGATAATCTGCTTGCATCCTCTTCACATGGCACACTGACCTAACACCAGAAATGGTTAGGGATTGGTGTAAATACTGAAGCATGTACTTTTATATCCCCTTTAAAGTTTTTTTTAAAATGTATTCATTACTATATTTCTGGATATTTTTGATATCCATATAAGCGTCCAATCTCTTTTTGAATCTTGCTAAGCTATTGGCTTCATTAACATCATGTGACAATGAGTTTCACAGCTTAACTATGTGCTGTGTGAAAATGTATGTCTGTTTATCAGGTTTGAATTTGATGGCTTTCAATTTCATTGCATGTCCGGTTATTCTTTTGTTACGTCAATGGGAGAAAAGAAATCCACCTTAGAACCATACAGTTTAAGACTAGGTTATCTAGTCTGACCTTTTGCATATCACAGGGCACCAACTCAGCACCCATACACAGAGCCCAACAACTGAAATTAGACCAATGTATGACAACCGACAGGAGACACGGCTACTATATGTCACCTTCTTTATACCAGTCATTATTTTGAATAATTTTATCATGTCCCCTCTTTTTTGTCTTTCTAAGGTAAACAATCTCAATCTTTTCAATCTCCCTTCACACGAGAGCTTCTCCATTCTCCTGGCTCATCTCTGGGCCCCCTCTCTTTCTGCAATATCCTTTTTAAGATAGGATAACTGGTAATGAACACAGTATTCCAGCTAAGGATAAGCCATCGATTTATATAATGGCATTATATTTCCCATGCTAGTCTCCACCTCTTTCTTTATGCATCCTAACATTTTATTGGATTTTTCCACCCACAGAGGAGCATTGAACAGAAGTCTTCTTTGAGCTGTCCACAATGACTCCCAGGTCCCTTTCCTGAGTTGATATTTAACTTATTATCTAGTAAAGTCCATGAGTAGTTCCAGTTTTTCCTTCCAACTTGCACAATTTTGCATTCATCAATATTGCATTTAATCTGCTATGGTGTTGCCCCATCCACCTACTTCGATTAGGTCCTCATAGTCATCCGTTGACTTGACTAATCAAATAATTTTGTGTCATCTGCAAGTTTTGCTGCCTCACTGCCCGCCTGTTTTGCAGAGCATTAATAAAAACAAACAGATTGGTCCCAGTAAGGAACATTGTGGTATTCTGCTTTTAACTTTTGTCATGATGAAAACACACCACTTACTACGCTTAGATAGTTTTTGAGCCATGCCTTTCACCCCATGCCTACTTAGCTTCTTCAATAGCCTTTGTGAGGAACCTTGTCAAAGGATTTTAAACATAAATTATGTCGACCAGTGGTCCCTTTATGTGCTACTTTAGCTGATCCTTCCAAATAATTCTAATAAAATCAAAGTATCTCCTATCATTCATAACAGGAAAAAGTAGAATCTTGATATGTAGGGCTGGAAGGGCCCTCAAGAGGCCATCTTCTCCAGCTCCTGGTGCGGAGAGAGGATTGAATATATTTGGACAGGTGTTCTGAGTAGTTATCTCCCAACATGCTCTGTGGTGAAGACTAAGGCAAAGAACCAAAGCCATGACAGATATGTTTTGTCATCTTTATTAGAAAGAGACCTATACAGTATGGCAGTCCCTCTCTGCATTACTTTACATTTTTCTTAAAAACTCAGAATACTGTACAGCTGACACAAAAATCTCAAGGTGGAGCAAGGGTTGAGGGGAAACATAATACAAACCAGCATATTTAATCAAAACAAGATCATATGAAACAACAAGCAAAGTGAAATGTCTGTCAATTGTTTTAATTACAGTACAAACAATATAAATAAAGCATCATTGCGTCATTGTAAAACAAACTTGCTGAATGAGGTAATATAAAAACAACAACAGAAGAGACTTTTTTTTTCTTTTAATAATTTCCACACTGCTCTGTCATTTATACATGACTATTTACAGAAACAGAAAAAACATACTATAAAGTCTGCTGTGTGCTAGGCATTTCCTGCCTCTACCCAAGAAACATTTCTCAGGCATCACCATTCACCTGCTCCCTTCCCCCCTCCCCCAAACCCCACTTTAAGAAACATGCCAATGTGACAATGCAGGGAAACTAAAGGGTTTGATGGCTGAATGGGACAGAACAGTAAAACAGTTTAAAAATCTAAGGTTTGCATTCAGGCAGGGTATAAAACTCAAATATTTAACCACCACAAACTGGTGGTCAATGGGTCTTCCAAAACAATGGGAATCTTATAAGCCATGCTGGCTGGCTTGAGTGCTAAATTCTGATCTCAGGGGCAAAACTCCCCTTGACTTCAATGAGTCCAGAATTTAGCCCTTTGTGATTTACAGCCTGATTCTGCAGCCCTTACTCAGGCTCTGATTCAGCAAAGTACCTAAGGTTGTGCTTAAATCCCACTGGAGCCAATGGAAGGATTGCCACAGTAAAGGCTGCAGGACTGGGCTCACACCAAACATTAAATCTAGGAGAGACGAAGTGAGAAACTACAAAGAGCTATCGAATCTTTTCTAAACAGCACAACTCCCTAACAAGTGTTTAAAAAGACCATCAGTCCACATATTCCCTCTCACTTTGTGCAGTCTGTACAAACTGTGTAACAATTAAAAACTATCTTGAAGTTTTCTTTAGCCTAAAAAAAAATAAAGTTGATTGGACCAATTGTATCCCTCATTCTGTGGCTCAGGAATCCTTATATTTCCACAGAGGAGAGGGCTGTGCTTTAGAGACACTTCAGTCAGACTTTATCGGTGGATTGGCAAAATGACCCCAGTGGACGCAGTGCAGACCTGCAATGTGCATCTTGAATCCAATTCAAGCCTGGAATACATCAGTCATTTTGAAGAAGAATTATCCCATCCTAGAGGATTTTTAGGTATAAGAAAGGGAAAAAATTTAAAAAAAGATTACACCCCCACAGCTGTGTTTTCCAACATACCTCCCTTCACTGCAGAGAACTGGCATCTTTACCTTATCAGGTTTGAGCTCTCTTTAACTTATTTCCCCTACCACGATTATAAACTGAAATGGTCACTGAAAGCAATGGTGTGAATCATTATCTAATATTTATGCACTGCCCACTATTATGCAGTGCCTTAACATACCCTAGAGTCAATGCTTACCATCTCTTCAGAAACTAATATACTGCCACAATTTAGCTAACAAACATGTGAAGGGAAGGGCAGGGAGAGGTCTAAGGAAACTATCAACTTGGAGAGAGCTCTTTTAAACATCTTCCTCAGAGTGGATTCCTGAACTATCCTATATACATACACCACACACACATTATGTAAGTGGCAGTAAGACATCAAATGGCATTAATTTAAAACAGCTGCAGAAGGTCAGACTGTCATTCTCAGAGTTCAATTCAGCCAGTCAGCTGAAGTTCTCAGCACTTTCCCCATAATTATATATATCGAAATCGGCTTCTGACTGGTGAGCCCGCTCTCAACTTTTGCATCTTTTTCCCACCCTAGAATTTTGCTCATCTTTCATAGAATAGAAACACACCACTATGGCTGCCTAGGCCACAGCGGTTAACCCAGTGGGCTGACTATGCCATTTTAAATCACGGTAGAGTTGGCATATCCCGCGACGAGTGGTGAGTTTGGGGTTTTTTTGATAAAGACACTGCGTGCACCTATAGTTTGAAGGAGTCTTCTGAATGAGCTGAATCGATGCTCACAACCAGTTGTCTGCCTCACCATCATCTGAACTAAGAGCCCCCTACGTTCAATGGGCACCCAAAAGTACCACTGTCTATGTCTCTTTCTGCCTAATTATATCCACATACACAGTGTATACTGTTGACTGGGCAGCCACAGTTCTGTGCATGCCTCATTTATGCTTGCAGACACCTGCTTCATGCATGCACATATTCACGCATATAAATTAGGAATGTGAAAATATGCAGTTATGCACACCTAACTGAAACCCTGGCACTCACTATAGATTTGCATATATGTAAATATATGTACACACACTATATATAAAATTATATCGCATGTGTTATATATAGCATATATGTATATATTAACATATGCATACACAGACTGCAGAATATTTTTGTTTCATACATTTAGTAGTATCCATCCATTGCCTATATCTTGCAACTTTGCCAGTTTCTCCTGCACTCTGCCCAGTAATAATCTAACTCTACTGGGTCTCATTCTAAGATTCCAAATCACTGAGCTGCTTGCCAAACAACCACCATTACATTTGTATAAGAAAAACCCCCCACAATTAACCTGCTGCACATTCCCCCCACCTTAACTGTCGAATTAGCTTTGAGAATTACACTGGCCTTATCCAGTTTCGGCAATGTTAAGTCCTCCACCAGTGGCAGGTTTAAGGTCCCATATCTTGTGGTCCATCAAGACTAGGAAAAGATTAAATGCTACTGGAGAGGAGCAAGGACTGACCCAATTTTCTAATCAGATAGAGCATCTGTTTATAGCTGTGACAAGACACGAAATTTCAGACTAAAGCTGCAATATTATGACTTATAAAAAGTTTTAGATAATTTCAAGAGGTTTCTAAAATGTATTCCTTTTTCCCATCCTCCACCTTGACTTAGACAACTTAGCTTTAAAGGTGGAAGGATACAAGAAAAATTGTACCATTGATATTTGCAGAAACCAGAAATCATTGATCAGTTTTTCTGTAAAATATGTGGCCACATAAAGTACCTGATGGTGTTATCACTGCTGGTCAATGATACGGTCATTCCAAACTCATGCCAATAAAACCTTTATAACACCCCACACCACTTTCTCCCTCACATTTTAATCTAACATTCATACTACATTGAAAGTGACTAGCTCTGGAGCACTGACAAAACCTCAGCTGTTAGAACTTTGAGCAGTGGGCATTCAATACAAACACCCAGCGGTTGGCGGCCAAAAGAGAAGACGAAACTTTTGAGAGTCAGTGAATCTCACCTTTGTCAAGTGGACGTGCTGGAAACGTTAGATGTAAATAAGAAAGCTAACCATGTTAAAACATTGAAGGATGTTTATTTTTATCTGCCCATTAAACAAAAGTCCCTAAAATGCTCAGAGGACAAGTATAGGGAATGAATTCACCCACATATTGCTGTCACATGAAATAAAACAGCAAAAGCCACGATTTCCAAAAAAGCGACTGGCGATTTTGGGGACCCAGTCTGAGGGCCCTATTTTCAGGGCGTGTTGGGCACCCAGCCTTCTGAAATTCCCAATGGATGTACCCAAAATGACTAATTGCTGCTGAAACCCCCTTATCTCCTCTGCTTAAAATATGTGACGTGAACTCAGTCAAATGAAGCTTGGCGCCATGAGACGGGAGCACCAGTGACCTAAAATAAACCTGGCTCATGACAACCAAACCAGACATGGTCAAATGACAAATCGACGGCTTGTATAATTGGCTCTGTAATCTGTATCTTTTCCAAATGGGAGAGCCCTTTCAAACTAAAACTACTGAACCACTCTTCTTCTTGTAGTTCAATATGCAAGAGGTAAACCCTGATCTGAAAAACACAACTTCAAACTTGAGATTTATTAGTGTTATTTTATTCTTTCATCAAAAAGCATTGTGACCTGGAGTGCTTTTACATGGAGCAAACAGATAAAATGCCAAAGATTGCCTTTCTAAACGACAAATCTACAAAAATGGAAGAAGAGAAGTTAAAATAAATCAGGGGTCCGAGACTAATGAAGCAAAGGTCAGAGATCCCCCACACTAATGACAAAAGCAGCTCACTGTGGGAAAATAAAGGTGCTTTAATATAAAACATGAACAAGGGAATCATCAGCATTTTCCCAAGCAAGGACTAAACTGCCCCAAATTTGGTCCCCCTACATTTGAATTCTTAAAGTAGAGTAGCAATAGTTTGAATGAACACCTGTTCCCTCTTGGGGTGCAAACATGGCTCCCCGAGACAGTAGTGAAGGAATCCACTTATTTAGAAATCTTTTGTGAAATCTGTGCTTGTCTTAGCTACTACTACTTTATTAAACCCACACATTACTTCACTGATCACCTTACAAATATAAAAGATGAAAATAGCAACAAATTGGACCCTCAGTGCAGACCCCGTGAATAATGGTACATTGTAGTGCTAGATACAATTGTTAGGGGAGTGTATTTAACATTATGTATTCTCTCTCTAGCTTCTTTCCTATTTTACTCAACTTCCCCTTCCCATGAGCAAATCTCATATCAAGTGAAGGGGAAGCTCTTTGCTCCCTACAAAGTATAATTGAAGGAGGTGGGGGAAAGAGATGCAAAATAAACAGTATTAATATTTACACAGCAGTTATACACTGTACCTAAGTAGCAATGCCTAAAAATCTTCTCCCTTTCCCAATGAATAGTTAAACAGCTTTCTAAATGGCATGTGAACCAGAATGCACCAACACTTTCAAGACACATTTATTCTTCTGCCCCCATTTAGCAATAAAACTGAAATCTATTAAACAGAGAGGATCCCTGACCAAACCCCTTGATCTGGAAAATCCTAAAACTTTCCAGAAGTTTGGATTTGGCCCCTCTGTCTACAAGATGAGAAACAGCCTTCCAAACTCTGGGAACATCAAGACCCCAGTGTTGTACATCAGGCTCATCTCTATGGTTCAACAGCAATTGGATTCAAATAAATAGAATGGAAACGCCAATGCTAAAAGCAAAGATGGCTTTGATTTTAGTGTCTTATTACTTGTGGATAAACTGCAGAGGAGATAGGAAAGAAGATAATGGGAGCAGGAAAAGGGTTGAATGGGTGACATTATGGATCTCCATTATTTGAGAAATATTTATTTGAGAAGATTTAGCTCCCCAGCATGTTTCTGTTGGGATTTCTTATTGCCTGGCCTTCAATTGGTTTTTAAGTTGCTCCTAACACGCTCAAAAGGCGTAAACATTCTGGCAAGTGGGTTCCAGAATTGCAAGAAGAGGGGCTAAAAGCAAAAGTGAGGAACTGAAGTGGACAGGTTAAAAGAGCAGAATTAGTGTAAAAAAAATTACCGTGGAGTCTAGAAGTCTTACTGTATTCCTTTGTGTTTCAATGTCTTGGTGGGGTCAGGATCACCCTCTGCAAAATGCTACCACATCACCTATAAGCGCGTAGTGTCAACAAATCTCAGTTTCTAATGCCAATCCAAGTCAGACTAGATCTGCTGGATATCTGGGAGATGACTAACAGGTGCTAATATTTGTTAAACATCAGCTCTGGGCACCTTGTACCCTAGTGTGTGAAGGAAGTAAAATGGGGTCTATCTTACAAAGGAAAACATGAGACTTTTCTTAGCTTTAAACTTAGGAGAGAGACTGGAACACCAGGTAAGAAGATTTTTGTTGTTTCTTTAAGTACAGTGCATATTAATTACACTGTACAAGACAGAGAGCTAGCAACAAGCAGGGGATGGTATTCACACTGGCCTGATCTTGTCACATTGCCTCTCACGGTGAGTCCTAGAGACCAAAGGCCAAGCAATGCCTTACCCCTTTCCAGCCATTTCTGACCAATCTTCCTTGAATATGTACCTGAGGATGCAAACTTCCTGGGAGACAAATATACCTGAATCTGCTCACATATGATAGCTTGTGCCTCATTAACACTTCTGCTACTGCTCACATCTCAATGGGAGGCGAGGGGGAATTGGTTACAGGTATGCATATTAGATAGCACAAAAAACATAGCTTTGTCAGGGCCTAAACCACATCTATCAAAGCAATGACAAGCCTTCCACATCTAGTAAGCATTACATTGTCTCCAGGGACAATGTATGGGTGGCCTTCCCAGTCTTTCACAGAGAATGCCACCAAGTGGATGGGCTGTATATCTTCCCTGCAGACATCCCTTGACTTTTGGGATATGCCACTAGAAAGAGGTAAGCTATCTCATATTCTACAAAAGCACTGGTCTACATTGCTATTATCATCCCTTACTAATATGTCTACGAAAAAGATGTGCTAATTTAAACACAACTGTGTTACTGCTTTATCTAAAGTAGTGTGTTAATATTCTGTTTGTCTGAATAAACCATCCTTCCTATGATACAGTAGAGTTTCCTTTTCTAAAGACTCCTTTGCTACAATTTCTGAATGTCCTCCTTTACCACAGAAGGATATGATGGACCTCTACAATGTCAGAAACCTGTTACAATTTAGCCCGGTTCCCCTTATTTCTCAATGCCCTTGTGTGTTTCATGCTAGGAAGACTGGTTTAAAGAGATAATTGAAAGGTGAATGGAAAAGCATTTTAAACCTAGAAGAATACCAGCTTTTAAAAGCATTTGTGTTGTAGGCTTAAAAATGGCAACTTGTTTTAAAACAAAGTATTTTAAACAGAGGCGGGCTGGTTAGCACTTTTGGAAATCAGACTCTCAATTTCTACTTCACTGGCCTGCCAAGAGACTTGAGATCAGGTTACTGAGTCGCCTGCCACAGATGGTAAAATCACCAACACCCAGCAGCAGAATGCTGAGTGTGCAGTTTCATGTTCGGTTCTAGATGTTAGCGAAGTCATCCAAGGTTGGAGGAAGACAACTGTCAATATCTAAGTCCAGATGGCAGATTGTGAGTAAAGAAGGCACCATGATGCAAACTACTTTAAAAAAAACAAAAAATAGCTTTATCATTTTGAATGCACATGTGCACCCATGATGCTGCCAGCTTAGGCTGGTAAAATGAACACAAAGCTTTTTCCATTCACCTTTAAATGTCCCTATTGCAACAAAGCATAAAAGCAGAATTCTAAAGGACCAGGAAAGCCCATCAATGTCCACCTGCTTGAGCCCTTGGGGCTTCTCTCACCTGATCACTATGGCTTTTGGGCCAAACCTGCCCCTTTTGGACACCCATGGGATATAAAATCCCCCCCCCCCCCGCATTTTGTCCACATACATTTTATTATTTTCTTTTCCCATTCTGACCTGAACAGACATACAGAGCCCCAGGAAGTGCAGAAACTCATGAAATACAAGAAGATCAGGCAGATGAGCAAATTTGTGTGCTGTGTGCACCTGACCAACTTCATGCACTTGTTCCTCTGCCACGATTCGGATCAGATTTCAACTTTCTCTGAAATACACCCTTCTCCCACCTTCATATTACCATATGCTACTTAAAAATCACTTCTCTTTTTGCCAGAAACCTTGCAATCTACTTCTCTGTGCCACAATTTCAGTTTTTAGAAGACTTCAGAAACCAGCATCAGTCTAGTGCTATCAAAATATTGAATCAAGTATTAAAACTGGCAGATGGATGAACTGTCCAAACTCCTTCCACAAATCATTGTTGCACCATAAAGCAGCCAAGTTGAGAGTCAAAGGAGCCAGGCCATGCCCACCTCAGAGAACGACATTAAGTTTAGCTATTAGACAAATCTGATCTCTCCTCCCACCCCCAGGCTGTGTCTCGGTCTGTGAAAGCATCATAGCTTCTAATGTAAAATATGTTTACGCTACTGAGAGACATCCTCCTTTTCTTCCTAATAGATTCTGTACACCTTTTTTTGGTAAGCCAAATATGCCATCCTCTCATTCCGATATGTTCTTCAAAGGTTTGCATCAAACAAATGGAAATACAGTTCACTGCTGGGAATATTTTCAATGTGCAATTATCTGTAAACCTCAGATCCTAACTACTTGCACATTATTTCGTTCACATCCATTATACTTTATAAATTAACAGAGGTGTCATTTGTCTGTACAAAAATCAATGCATATTTATGAACTTGTTTATTCAAATAGATTTTACATACATATAATCTAAAGACACAATACAAAATCTGTATAATTTAGGCAATGCATCACAAGAGAGATCAAAAAACTCAACACACTTACTTGGCAAAATGACATAACATATTTCTTGTGACTGAAAAAAATAGTAGCCTTTAATGCATTTATTTATTTTACTAAATGTACTTGAAATGTTTTTCCTTAGCAGTATTCATTATTTCTTTTTGTGTTTCATAGTTATTCTTATTTATTTTTTCCATTTTGTTTTTACACCAAGGAGACTGCAGTCAAATAACACTCAGCAACCGATTTCCTCTCTTTGGACTGAAAAATTAAACAGATACTAAATTATGACAGTGAATTTAGAAAGGAGGGCTCCAAGGGCTTGAAAGAACATGTCTGAGATAATATGATGCTTCTAAGAATATTGCAATCACATCCAAGCAATCACCGAAGCGTGCCATGTAACTACCTCCTCAGCTAATATGCTTTTTTCTCCGTGATGACTAATCATGTTCTATTAAACAGCAGTAATGCTGGAAGAACTCAACTATACAAGTGTAATGAAGCCAGTATTCTCCCTGGACAGATTAGCTACAACTGATTTGACACATACCATCATAGGAACTTCAAACCTGACAAACTCTGTGCTTGCTTCTGATTTATGCCGTCAAGCTCTTCGGAGAAGAGAATGAAATCCAAGTGTTCCGTTTGGTAGAGGTGAAATGTACTGATATGCTTAACTGTCAGTTAAGGAAAGTTACCATTTCTTCTTTCTTCTCCTCTTCCTCCTCCTTTCTTCTCCCTCCAACCTCTCTTTCAACACTTCTAGAACCTCTGTCTAAAGACAACTAGTAAAATGGTCCCATGTCGTGCTATAATTAGAGACCTCACAACCACTCTCTCTCACAAACCCTCTCTTTTTCAGTTTTCCTTATTCAAGACCTTTTATTAAAATAAATGGTTTCTGCAGCCCCCTTTTCTCCTCTGGTCACTTCACACTGTCCAGATGTGATTTTTCTGGAGAGGACAGAGATTGAGGGGAAAGGGGAGATGCGGAGGTATAAGACTCACAGGTCAGAGCTGTGAAGAAAATGGAGCAGTATGAGGCTGCGGATGTTACTCAGGTCAGTGAAGAAATGAGCACGTTCCTCAGATGATGGTGGGCATTCTTCCACTGCTGTTGTTCCTGTTATTGTTCTTCCTGGACAAATTGGGAGTAGCCATCAGAACAAAGCGCTCATCAGGGCAGCCATACTGCAGGAGAACATCAATGCATTCCTGGCCTGTGGCTTGCCTGGCATAGGCTAAAGCCGTGTTCCCATGGGCATCACGGGCCATAACATCCACGCCATACTGTGGAAAAAAACAAATGTCATTTGAGACCCTGCTGCTAACACAGCGTTAAAATGGAGTGAAAGAAAACAGCACAGCTAGAGCTGAGTTTAAGGGGAGGGGTGCGACGGATGGAGAGAAATTCTCAAAGATAGACGCTCCTTATTTGAAGGGTTTGTAAATCTAAACATGCTTCATGCACATACAGCTTTCTACTGGAAGAGCCTCGCCTACTGCCGGTCATGCAAATACTCTCTCACCATTGCATTTTATGTGGATTTTCCATAGTGTGTGCACCTATCCCTCTCCCCATCTCCCGCGCCTCACTCCAGTTTTTACCACATTTAAACAGATGTGGAAAAAGACACATTTTGCAAGCGATCTCCAAGAAGGCCATCATTTGAAAGGAACAGGAACATTTAGACTAAGGAAAAGAGGGAGATACCTTGAGCACCCCACTGGAATATGCTCATAGCAGTATTTTGAAAGGCCATATTGAAGTAATGTTTGCTAGACAATAGGGACGAGTGAAACGTAACTCCGCACTGCATACCCAACACCACAAGGCAGCTGCTTACCCAAATTAAGAGCTGAACTAACACTACATTTCCTTTCCTACATGCCAAGTGAAGGGCTGTGCGCCCATCCCCATCTCCGCAGGTCTCATTCACTTCTTCCCGGGTTCCATGGGCCAGGAGCAGGATGACAGTCCGCAAGTCCTCATCAGCTGTAGCTTGTAGCAGATGCTGGCCTAAAGAAAGTTCCAGGCACTGCAGCGGTGCAAGGAAGAGCTTCTGTTCATATTTAGCACGTATCCAGCGTTCTTTTTCTTCCCTAGAGAAGCAAAAAGAAACATGCCATTCAAAAACTGGTTCCATTGCCTTTGTGTGATGTTATATATTCACCTTTGGAGACAAACAATCCAAAAAAACGACTGCCATACAGAGAGGCTAATTAGCAAGAAAACATTTTCTTCTTGTAAATGTCAGCAAAAAAGCTTCTTTCTGAAACATTTCGTTTATGCCTTATACTTGCGACAACATTTATTACACTTACACATTTCTCACCCGGTTGTACCTGGCCGGAGAGCTACATTACATCCTGGGTTCATGGACCAGCCTTTCACCTCCAGAAACAGAGGCTCAAGCATGCCTTGGGCCACAAGTGGAACAAGTTTGGTGCCATGCAGTTTGGCATAGGTCAGCAAAACCGACCATCTCTACTCAAGAGAGGCCCAAGACTGGAGCAGCCAAGCGGAGCTCCAGGTCAGGATTGAGATGTGCTGGTAAAGCTACACAGGGAAATGTGCACAGAATTTGCCTGCAGTGGGCCTAGATGTAGCCAATGGCAGCACTAAATTCCTCAAAGTTCACTCCCACGAACAAACTGACTCCTGCTTGCATCTAAAGAAAGAAAAGGGAAATTAATGAAAGATACTGCCTTGCTTTTTCATTCTGTAAGGTTTGGCCACTGAACAACAGCATCCCAGTTTGTTTCACAATGGGACAGAGGTTCAGAAGGTTTTTGTTTTTTAAGGAAAATCTCAGTACTTTAAAGCATCATTTCCTCTCACTGTACCAAGTAAGCACCAAAAGCTTCCTAGATACATTTGTATTGTAGGATAATGCCACATTTTACAAGTAACTCCAATTTCTGTTAAAAACTTTTCAAAACACACTGATGTGCTTTGGGGGACGTGGTCACAGGCAAATTCCCATTGACAGGTGCCCTTTGCCTAATACTTCAGGTATCTACATGGTAATCTGTCTATCCTGTGAAAACTATATATAGCACCTAGTAGGAAAACTACTTACTGGTGACATTTTTCCCTCTCAAGTACAGAAAGAAAAGCTCTGTTTACACCTTTCAGCAGTGTTTACACTACTCCCAGTAATCTAGTGTCAGGTTAGCCCTAATCTGTTTTTAAATACTTATGTAAACAGATAGTTCCAACAGCAAATCTGGATTAGTTTTGCATCACTTCCTGGTACATGTGGAGTGACCTTACATTGACCCCTCTGGATGCTTTCATGCAAAGCTTTCCAAAGCATGCACTTTTCTACACAAATGACAAGTCAACCTATAACTGCAATATACAGTCATTTTTCCCCATAAAAAAAAGTATAAATTTTTCAGTTTATTCCAAAAATTATGGCTCGGACAATCCTTCAAACGATCACCACACTCTGAATAATAGTGAAACCATCTTGGGGGCTGAAAAATAGCCTGTGATGCTGATGCTTGATAGTACATTCTATTTTAAAAAAAGAAAAGGAGTACTTAAAACATTCACCACGAGAGAAAACTTCTGAATACTGTTAACCTTGTGACACAAACATACATTGAGAGGGAAGGTTAATACTCCACTTATCTTGTGCTGTTGTGTATAAATAAAATCAAATCCAACAAGTACCAATGCTGTGAGAAGGATGGAATAGCATAGCTCCAGCTGCCTAAAATGTCATGAATTCTGTGGACTTGTGTCACATGATGCCATTTTGGTATTCTATGCACTCTTAAAAAATAACCATAGATCGTTGTAAAACTATTATTTATCCAGGTCTTGTACATCTCCAAGTCAATGGAGCAAGCAGGTACAGTATTTGGTAAGCCTCATTTAAAATGTTTTAATGTTTGTTAAAAATAAATGTGTGTAATGTACAAAATATTTTATAAATATATCATTTACCCTTATAAAATGGGCAGGACTCCCAGATTAAGTGCATTTCACAGTGTTATTGTGGGACCACTGCCTAAATCAGGGGACAGTCAATTTATACCTCTTAAAATCATACATCCAATTTTTTTCCAGAGCTGCTTCTACCCATCTGCTCCACAACAAAACTTTAAAATCTTAAATTTAAGGACTTAAATTTAAAGGGCACTGGTGACTGTCAGCAACAGCAACCTGCAGTTGTTTCTGCAACAGGTGTTCACGGTTCCAATCCCAGCTGTGGCATCAGTTGTGGGAATCGTGACTTGAACAGAAATTGCTCTCTGTTCAGAGAAACAAGCTATTTTAAACAAACCTTCTATTCTACTCACAATCCAGCTATGAGAAAAAGGATTTTTGTTTTGTTTTTATTAAAGATGAGCATAACTTCAGTCAGACCCATGAGAGCTGATACCTCAGTGTGTACAGAAGCAGCAACTAAAAGTGCCAGAATCAGCTGGACGTTTTCAGAGCCTTAGGCTGCCAAAGTTTTACAAAATTCATGAGAATGTATTTTATGTTTACACTATTTTTAACAGTTTATCTATTTTTCCTCCACAGCATTTACATACGCTCCAAAAGCGGTTTTTATGAGAAACATTAACTCTTCGAAAAATGTGTATCTTACGCATATGGAAAAAAAAAAGCTGCTGGATAGTGATGCAAAGGCTTATCACACAATGAGATCCTGTCATGTCTGGATGGCCTGGGGGAACCAGGAATGAGCCACTAAGCTCCAAACTGGGACCACGTGATCACACTGTTTCAAAAAGGGTAACGAGGACAGACCACAAACTTGTTAGGTTATTATGGGTAATCCATTAATAGGGTCTGTCTGTGGGGGTGGGAACAGGCCATCCACCCTTGCTGTCCTGTTGGCTTAGCAGGGGAAGGCAAAGTGCAGGATGCAACCGGTCCCTCTCTTAAAGATTTCTACCGCTACATAACCTCGTGACACAAACCACTGTCTCTCTCTCTGACTCTTACTGTATGCTGTGATCAGAATTCTGTGCAACTTCACTAAATCTATTGCAGAGCTGGGCAATGGCTAGAGTTACTGGTAATCCAAGATATTCAGGAAATGGGAGTCTACTTGCAAGAGCAGGGTTCTGCATTCTATATTAGACTCTGCCACTGTGTCATGTCATTGCCTTGCTGTGTGACCTTGAGCAGGTTACTTAATTTTACTTTACTTCCATCTCCTCATGTGTAACATGTGCATAATACTCACCTATCTCTTATGAGTACTGAGAGTCTTAATTACATTAGGGCCAGATTCTGCTACCCTCGCTCAGACTGAGTAGAGCCTTGCTCTTTAAGTAGTCCCACTGAAATTAGTGGGACTATTTGTGGAGTAAGATACAATTCAGGGTGTGTAAGTGTGGCAGAATCTTGTCCTTACTGTCTGTAAAGCACCTTGAGATCCTCAGATGGAAGATACTTCAATGTCAATAATTGTTTCTAGTTTGCAAGACTATTTCAAAACAATTCTAGACACAGTAGTTATTGGGGGAATATACTGGAGAGAAAGTGTCAGCCTGTTATCCAGACAGACAATAGCTATTTTAAGTACATTCCTAATGAATAACACAGAAACTTTCATCTGAATACCACATGATGTTAATGACCGGCCTGGTTAAGGATTCCCAAAATTCCACTTGAGGGTTCTAGCAGGAAGCCATGGGAAGAGCAATCAGTGTGCCCATGTTGCCAAGAAGGCCAATGGCATTTTGGGATGTATGAGTAGGGGCACTGCCAGCAGATCGAGGGATGTGATCGTTCCCCTCTATTCGACATTGGTGAGGCCTCATCTGGAGTACTGTGTCCAGTTTTGGGCCCCACGCTACAAGAGGGATGTGAAAAAATTGGAAAACGTCCAGCGGAGGGGAACAAAAATGATTAGGGGACTGGAACACATGACTTATGAGAAGAGGCTGAGGGAACTGGGATTGTTTAGTCTGCGGAAGAGAAGAATGAGGGGGGATTTGATAGCTGCTTTCAACTACGTGAAAGGGGGTTCCAAAGAGGATGGATCTAGACTGTTCTCAGTGGTAGCAGATGACAGAATGATAGAAACATAGAATATCAGGGTTGGAAGGGACCTCAGGAGGTCATCTATTCCAACCCCCTGCTCAAAGCAGGACCAATCCCCAATTTTTGCCCCAGATCCCTAAATGGCTCCCTCAAGGATTGAACTCACAACCCTGGGTTTAGCAGGCCAATGCTCAAACCACTGAGCTATCCCTCCCCCCCAGGAGAAGTAATGGTCTCAAGCTGCAGTGGGGGAGGTTTAGGTTGGCTATTAGGAAAAACGTTTTCACTAGGAGGGTGGTGAACTACTGGAATGCGTTACCTAGGGAGGTAGTGGAATCTCCTTCCTTCAAAGTTTTTAAGGTCAGGCTTGACAAAGCCCTGGCTGGGATGATTTAGTTGGGGATTGGTCCTGCTTTGAGCAGGGGGTTGGACTAGATGACCTCCTGAGGTCCCTTCCAACCCTAACATTCTATGATTCTATGAAACACAAATAAAAAGGCTTTAAATGTTTAGCACACCCTGAGGCAGCTCATTTCTGACCTCTGATGACAAGTGAGGTTCCAAACACAACCAATGTGCAAAATGGAGCACAAGTGAGACATTCCATTTGGGTATTCCTATAGGAAACTATCTTTGATTAGCTGATCATTGTCTGGAGCTGGCAGTGTGTTCCCCACACTCCCCTGGGTCGGCGCATTCAAACTTCAGAATTATTACTCTTTTGAGTAAAAATCCAGAAAGCTTCACAGACATCCTCTCCTGCTATATTTCCCCTAATACAGGCTCTCTCTCCTTTGGTGTGAGTGATTTAATTTAAAATGGAAAGTTCTCAGGATTTTCCTGGAAGACTATTTTGGCTTCACTGTACCTGCTCACCCTAGGAATTATGACACTAAGACATAAATAGTGTAACTGTTTCTCTGATGTCACAATTTCATTTCTGGGATCCACAGCTTGTCCTGGTTGAGTTTTCATTTTCCCAAAGGAAGGCCAGTCCAAGAGCAGAGTTGTCAGCAGTAGATCACTTAACCTCATTCCAATCCCCTGGAGGACCACTGTTCACATCCCCCGTTAACTAATGAGCTAA